AACAACAGCAAAAGAATTATAATAATAACGATGATAAACCTAAGGATAATAACAAAACAACAAAAGTGATAAAAAACAAACAAACAAATCAACAATAATAATGACAATGAAAATAAAGATGATAACAATAACAACACACGAAAATGAATCTAAGTAGATTTAATAGTACCTCCCCCTAAAGAAAAAGGGCAATAAAATTATGATAATAAACCCTAATCACTGCCTCATCATAGACGAACTAAGTAATAAAAAAGAGAGAGCACAGGCAAGCAAAAATTGATAATAAACCTCAATTATAGTCTTGCGTAACCATAGACGGATTCAACCATAAACCAAAAAGAGAGAGAACAGACAAGCAAAAATTTGATGATAAACCTTGATTATAGTCATAGTCTAGCCAAATTCAATAATAAAAACGATATCAGAGAGATATCAAGGCGAATAAAGAGTAGTAGTCAATCCCTTCAGTTTTCGCAGTATGTCCCAGCGAGCATACCCTGTTCCCCTACAGGCTACATGCGAGAAACTGAACGAAGACTGCCTTGTCTCTGTCAATCATTTTATTATCTATTTTCCTTTTTTAGTATAAATGGGGAGATAAAGAATAAAGCGTGATTCTTTTTTTTTTTTTTTTTTGTCTGCGTAAGATTGTGATTGACATGGATCCATCTTCGTTTTTTTCTTTTTTCTTATCGGTGACTTGGGAATTCAGTTGATGGATATATTGAAAGGAAAATATAGGAGATTATTCTTTGGTATTAGGTTTACGTAACGTTAGAGATCGATGATGCTTCTGTAAAACTTTCTTTCGGGAAAAATGCGTTAAGAGGCCAACAAAGAGACGGCTAGCAGCACGCACACAGAGTAAAGGGGGAAAATATATAGATTTTTTGATAACTAATTTATTAATACTTCGTGTATTCTCTCTCTCTCCTTCTTCCTCCTTCTCTTTCTCTCTCTCCCTCTCTCCCCTTACCTACCTTTGAATTCACGTCTAAGTTAGTTATTCAAGGGTTAGATCAGCCATCGCACATTTTTTCTGTTTCTAAGCCTCTCTGGTGATACTCTGTTCTTCAAGCGTATTGTGAACAGCTGGCCGAGCGTGGTTACGACAGGATCTCGATGTGATTAAAGAGGAATAGCTGATTTCATTCCAAAGAGACACTGACATGAAGTCAAATTTCAGGACAGTATTGCAATATTTTCCATTAAAAAATCTGACGGTTACCCTGCCCCGTGGAGCAACGTAAAAATACGCTTTATTGCCTCCCATGATTATATTCGTTGAAAGGGGAATGCAATCGCAAAACGTCAACGCAGCAAAGAAACAAATTGAAAATGACTGCAAGGTGAGACCTCAGAAAGCTTATTTCTTTTCATAAATCTACTGAGAAACTGATCTTGTACCAAACACATCCCTTCTATAGGCATCTGATTGTAATTACACATGCATATTTATCTTTATCTGATTGGCCATTCATTATTTTCCCTAAAGATTGCTACCTACGTTTATTCTGCCTGAACCACTGCTGAATAGACTGGCACCGGTGGCTCCAACAACTGGAACCCTTGCTGGTTGTAAAAGATTAAAAACATCACTAACAGCAACTGTAGCAAGAGTGCCAGATACATGTATAGCATTTCCGCCATCCACGGCCTCATATTCTAGCACATTTACACCTCTTTGTTTTTTTTACAGCGGGTGTCTTGTCTTCCTCGGGGTGTCCAAAATGTTCGTGATGTTCATCCGTCGTCTGTCATTCTGGTCACATGTCCAACCCAATGCCATTTTAGCTTGTAGAAGGTTTCAAAAATGTTTCTCACTTTGGTTTCCCGACGTATCCCTTCGTTGTTTTTATATCCCTCCATGTTAAATCCAGTACCATTCTTTCATGTGCTCTCGGCATTGTTCTGAATGTGAGGGAAAGCTTTTAAATTCGTTTAGTTAAGTTTCGCCCAGTTGGAAGGATGCGCTGATCATAAACTTTTCGTTCAAGATGATAAGATTTTTTATCCTTTCAGATAGAATTTGCTTTTCCAAACGCCTGCCAGTCAGGGCTGATTCTTCTCTTAACTTCATTTTCTTTGGAGGGAGATCCTAGGTTGTTGCAATTTTTAACTTTCTCTCTGTTAGTCGTCGATTGCAATTGCCTCATCTGTATCTTCAGTGCGAATGTTGCACATGACTTTGGTCTTTTTGAAGTTCATGTGAAGTGATTTGCTTGTTTTGTTATTCTCTGGCATAGGCAAGGATGGTGTCATCGGCGTTTAAGGGGCTAAAATTGTTCTCCGTCTATTTTGATTCCTCTTCGGTTGATTGACGAAAAGCCTTTTCTCGGCAGGCTTTAATTAATTTAGAAGAGCTAGTTCCACCTTGTCTGACTTCCTTCTTCAGCTGGAAGGGTTCAGACTCCTTGTGGAGACGAACGACCGATGCTGCATGTTCGTACATATGAAGAACACTGATATAATTAGAGTCTGTTCCCTGTTCCCCGAGAACTGACATGACCTCCTCAGATTCGACCGTCAAATGTTTTTGTATAGTCCCCTAGAGCTACCGCCAGTGGAATTCTATAGTCGTTTGCTTTTTTCAATGGTATGGTTGACTGCTTGAAGCCCGCTTGTTCCTCCGGATGATTTTCAAGCTGCCTTGCAATTCTGTTGCTAATTATTCTAGTAAATATTTGGTAAACGACATTAAAGAGGCTGATTGGTCGTTGGTTGTTCATGTCTCTGAGGTCTCCCTTCTTACAGAATAAAAGGAGTATGGCTTTATTCCATTTCCCAGGCGTTTTGCTCTGTTTCAGATATTCATTAAAAAGCCCGGCCAGTCTGAAGCAGATGGATTCTCTTGCATCTCTAATGAGGTCCCGATTCGCCCTTCTTCATTTGCTTAACAGTAAGTTTCATCTCATGCTGCGAGTGCCCCCGTGACTTGCAGCTTTCCCTGCGCAAGTTTCTTCTTCTTTGCCATTTTGAAGCTTCTATCTTGGTTAATGATGTCTTCATTTGCTTTTGTTTTTGTTTTTTGGTTGCGAAGATCCTCTTTTTATATTTCCTGTATAGTGTTGTTGATTTCTGTTGCTTCGATTTCCTCCTGCATTGGCGGATTTAGATTTCTTCGTTTTTTCATGAGGTCTTTGGTGTCTTCTTAGAACTGATGTGGCCTTTGAGGATTCTCAACTTTACATTTCTTGACTACTATCTTTCAGGCCATTGAGGTTAATTTCATCGTTGTTCTGGTCCTCTAAAGTTTTAAGATTCTCATATCGGTTTTTGAATTCTATTTGGAATTTAGGAATAAGTACCTCAGTTATTTTGAGTTGTTCTGGTTTTGTGAAGAAAAGTTTTCGTTTCTCTCGCTTGGTTTTGATTTGGAATTTGGAATCTTAACATTATGTGATCACTGCCTCTTGTTGACTTGGTTAAGCACATCATCATTTTTTAAGTATATAATCGATTTCATTGTGTGTAACATTTATTAGGCTTCGCCATGTCCAGTTCTTCTTTTACTTTTTTGAAAGGCGTTCATGATTTTGTAATTATGAACATTAGCAAAGATGACCAGGTCATCACTTCTCTCATTTATTTCCCCACGACCAAATATTCCCATACGAGCTTCATTCCCTTTCCTGATCTTTGTATTGAAATCTTCCATTATGATTTTGTAATAGGCTTTGATATTGTTCAGATCCCCCTGCGACAATTCGTAATGTAAGGACATATATCTGAATGATTGTTAACCTGTATCGATTCGAAATATGAAAGGTAAAACTGCAAACTCGGTCAGAGGTGATTGTGAATTTTCCCAATCTTAATGTTACTCTGCATATTCTTATGGCTTGTTAAGCCAACACCTTTTTGTTTGTTCTTCCCTCCACCGCTGTAAAGCAGGTGTCCACTTTTGAATTCTTGGACTTTCCAATTGATGTCTCACATGTTTACATTACATTTGGCATTACTTGTTTCAAGAAGATATCTATTCTTACTTCCTTATTTCCAGCTAAATTGATTTAGCCTTTTCAATCTGTAATAAACATAGGCTGGTTAATAGTTATATTCTGAATTTACAAGCTATGTGTGATGGGAGAAAGGAGGGGCGCTAAATGGTCTAAGAACTAGGGGTACATTAACCCGAAAAGTTTGGGAACCACTGTTTTAGCCTAATGTAGTGATACCCTACTCGCCTCTACTTATACCTATAAATAAATTCAGCATAAGAGAGCAGGCAAGTGAAAGACTGCAGATAAACCTACATTACAGCTAAACCCAGAGATAGATTCAACAACGAACCAAAGGAAGAGCTGTCAAGGCAGACGAAAATACAACCAATATCTTCAGCCTACGCACCTTGTCTCCGAGTGAATTCCATGTTTCCCTAAAGGTTACATGTGAACAACAGCGACAAAACTGCAATGGATAACTGTAATGTTTTTATCTTTTCTTTTTTTGTGTATAATTTTGTGGTATTAAAGGTGATAGATCAGTAAACGTGTGTCATTATAATATATATATATATATATATATATAATATATTATATATATATATATATATATATATATATATATATATATATATAATATATATATATATATATATATATATTATATATATATATATATATATATATATATATATATATATATATATATTATATATATATATATATATATATATATATATATATATATATATACTTATATTTATATTTATGTACGTGTGTGTGTGTGTGTGTGTGTGTGTGTGTGTGTGTGTGTGTGTGTGTGTGTGTGTGTGTGTGTGTGTGTGTGTGTGTGTGTGTGTGTGTGTGTGTTGTGTGTGTGCGCGCACAAACACACACTCACACACACACACAAGTGAACGTAGTAAATTATACAGGTTATCTAAATATTCACTAGAACTACTCATATAGGCTCTCATTTTCTTTCTTTTTATATATCAATATTATTCATGTTTCCCTATACTAATGAAAAACCCACACAGTTCCAAGATAAATAAT